AGAACGCTCACACTTGTAAGTAATGTCAAGTAGCAGTTTTTAATGGGAATTAAAAACATACAGTACCCGGCAGTACTTGGATTCTTCGAGCAGAAGGAGACCTAGCATTCGATTCTGCGTTCTTGTTACTCTGGGATCTTTGGAATGCCGGAGAATCTATCGACCGGCCGAAAACGGTGTATTATAAACAAAACAACACAAAAAATGTGTGAACAAATATTTCCTTTATCTGAATCCGTTTTTTTTCTTTCTTTTCTACGTGTTCTGTTTAAAATGTATTCTATGAGTTCAATCACTTAGTCGATTCGTTCAGACTTCAGTGAAAAACAGGCGAGCAATAAACTATTTCTATTATATTGATTTTCCAAGCATAGCTTAAATGTGGCACAAGGCCTAAAGTAGGGGGCACCCGGTGAGAATCGAACTCACTACACCGTTGTAATCGTTCTAGCTGAAGTCGGACGACCAGCTGACCGGCTGATCGGTTGAACTCTCCGCCTTCGGGCGGGGTGGAACCCGAACGAGGCTACGCCGAAGGGCGGAGTCTCTTTCGGGGAGGTAGACCGGGTTCAAAGGGCATATTTTTAGCCGAGCCCCCGGGCTCGGAGATCCCACGTTAAACTGGCCTTGTGCTACATGATGCCCTCGTGCGGGGGGTGACTAAATGCTGTTCTAGCGAGATAAGATTACTAACCATTACACCACATCGAGGTACCCAACCGATCTCTGTTATATACAAGATCGATGAGATAACCTTAGACATAGTCAGTGCAATGGGAACAATCTTCAAATTTTATAAAGTGCACAGTTCGAAAAAATACTGATGAAGGTCAGAGGGCACTAGGAGTGAAACGTAGTGATAGTAACAATGAAGATGAGCAAAACAGTCTGAGTGTATATGATGTAAATAATAAATATGGTTCATCTCTTATTTAAACTTTGGCTGTAAAAATTTGGTTTGAACAGTAGCGTTATTTATTTTTTTAAAGAAAATTAAATTTTGTCGTTAGTTTTTTTCTTTTTCTTTTTATATATTTTTTCGAATTTAAAGTATACGTTCCCTTTATTATCCAGAGAATAAGTTCACTTTTATTTGGGGAATGCGTTCATTTTTAAACGCAACGAATTATGAATATTGAAAAAAATATAGCAGCGATTAATTTTATTCATCTCTGTAATTTCTGTATTTTAATAATAGACATGAGAGTAATAGTCTGGCTTTCAGTCTAGAAGTGTGCCATATCAACTTCACGCTTTAATTCAGTGACCGCCATTTGTATTTTTGACATTATTACCATTGTTCTCCAAATAGCTACACACATTTTTAAATAGAAAAGTTTTAAATGCTTGTCGCGTTGCTTCATTTTAATAAACTCTTCGATATTGGAAAAGCGACATATATAATTGGCAAATGATTCTTCTTTTTCTGTGTGTCGTTTTCTTTCAGAACGGGGGCGAAGATCTCTTTCCACAAAATCTTGCTCTTTTGTAGCACTGAGTAAGGTTTGTCTTTTGGCTATTCCTCCTAGTCCCTGCACTGTCAACGATTTACTAAAGCTCGTTATGTCTGTTATGCGTTAACATCCTCTTTCCCTCTTAATTTTAACATTTCCTGTGAGTGTCACAGTCTCCAAGCTTACTTTCCCCATTATACGTCCGGGTAATTTCAGTTTTATCTTTCTGATTCTTAATATACGCGTCTTTTTTTTTTCTTTACATATTTTTTTAAAACATCACCGTTGCTCAAATATTCAGTCCATGAATCTGACTTTGTAGAAGCCATATCTCTTCATTATAACCTTGCACAGGGGTTGCCAAACGGTGTGATGCGACACGTAGGTGCAGCGGAAGAAGATAGCAGGTGAGGTAGAATGATTGAAAGAGAATCAATGATTAGAGAAACAGATTCAAGATTCGTATGTGGAAAATAAATATGATTTCAAAATTTTAAATATTATTATTATTATTATTATGGATTACTTGTAATTGCATGCATGAGTCCCAGTATAAATATTTCTAAATAATTATTGACTGATTTTATCATTGTGATATTTTGCATTATTTCTGATTTGGTTTGTTTTAAGGCATATCAACCTCAATGGGTTATTTAATGCCGACAAAAAATTTTATTGCTGGTAATATGTTTTTCTTCAAAAATCTATTTCTGAGAAGATTCTTTCCTTGAGGAAATCTATAGCTGGTAATATATTTTTTTTCAAAGAATGTATAGCTGTTTGTATTGCTGGTATTTTTCTTTAAAAGTATTGCTGATAATAATTTTTCCTTCAAAAATTATTGCTGCTCATATTTTATTTTATTACAAAGTATTTCTGATATTAAAACATATTTTTACACAAGTGTGAGTGTCAACTATTTCCCCATAGCTAGGACCCTAACAGGAGCTAAAACCCCCGGGTCAGGGTGGACCTGGCAACGCCAGCAATTAAGAGGTGGTTTCACGATCCTCAAAACCTCCTGATCAGATGTCTTGCTGTTGGACGTAGTTTATCTTCTTACCCAGGACGTGAATGTAGTTTATCGTCTTACCCAGGACGAGGACGTAGTCTATCGTCTTACCCAGGACGCGGACGTAGTTTATCGTCTTACCCAAGACGTAGTTTATCGTCTTTCCCAGGACGTGGATGTAGTTGATCGTCTTACCCAGGATGAGGACGTAGTTTATTGTCTAACCCAGGACGCGAATGTAGTTTAACGTCTTACCCAGGACGCGGACGTAGTTTATCGTCTTACCCAGGACGCGGACACAGTTTATCGTCTTACCCAGGACGCGGATGTAGTTTATCATCATACCCAGGACGGGATATTTTGCATTATATCAAGTATTAAGAATATAGTAACTAGGATCCGCATATTGGAAGAAAGCGTTTCAATAATAGCGAAAACTTGCAATAAGTTAATATGTCAATTTACGCGATTTTGGAATGATATCGACGAACATTGCTGTCTACAATACGAGGCAACATTATTGTTCCAATTCTCCATTCCAGATTTAACGATTTCCATGAAGAAAAAACAATCCAAATTTCAGCACTAAAATATCGACTGATAAGTTTTCTGACATTTCTGTTCGCTGCCCATAACTTTCTTTGTAGATGTTTGCATAAAAGTGTTCGGTCTGTTGCTTTAAGTTGTTTTTTTGTTTTTCTTTTTTGTTTTTTTCATTCTTTTCATTCTCATCTTTTCCGATTGTTTACATTCGACACAAGCGATTCTTCAAATATTTTCTTGCGTGCCAATCCACTTTTTAATTACACTTCTATTTTTTCTTTATCAAATCTCTTTTTTCTTTCATTATAAAACCCATTTTTTTTTCTTTTTATCGAGCCTATATTTTCAATTATTTTAAAAGTTCTTTGATCTCTGTCGACCTTTTTTTCTCTCACAATTTTCAATTTTGCCTTCGTATCACTCAGTAAATTTTTAATATTTTCTTTCCCGTTTGAGGTAATATCTGGTACAATCTTTTTTTTTTAACTGCCATATCATTGCCGTTTGTAAGCGATCATAAATCCCCATAACGATGCCTGAACAAAAAGTATCGGGACTGGTGTTATAAAAAAGAAAACTACGAAACATATCAATTCGACATTTAATCTCCTTCGAAGTAGTCTCTTTCTAAAACCACATCTAGTGTCGTTTGGAAGTATTCCTAGATCTCCCTTTTGGGTGATAGCAAGCAGCTGTCTCGTCGCATTCCCTTGGATTTCCTCGACGTCTTGAAATCATGTTCGTTTCAAATGGGATTTGATCTTGGAAAGAAACGGAAAAATGTTGCAAGGCAATGTGGCTGTTTTCGCGCCTGGGGCATGTTGTCTTGACCAAAACTGCTGCACAAGACATGGTCACTAATGACACATCTGTGTTATGTTGAGACGACCGCACTCTACACACATTCTTTCCAAGCACTGCTATAAACCAGAGATAAGAGCAAAAACGTTATAACTTCGAGTGCATAATTTTATAGAGTTCAAGATTTGTCTTACGTTAGATTCGTTGCCATAGCAACATTCCCGATAATTTTTGTCATACCTCGTAGATGTTTTGTTTATCATCCGTGAAATGCCATGCTCTCTGGCGAAAGATAGCGTTGAGGTTCCAGGTGCTTTCTTGCTCGGTTTTGAATTCAGATCATTCCTACTTCTAGAATAGTTGCTATCCAAGACTAGAGTCATTCTTGCTATTTAATCCAAACCTTAGGGTGGGGAAAAGAAGACCAAGAATTCCTATTGAAATGTGAGACTGACGTTCACCATTCGTTATCGATTCCTTGGTCCTAATCAATTATATCTATAGTACCACCTTTACCACATTAATATTACAAATATCTATCTATCTATCTATCTATCTATCTATCTATCTATCTATCTATCTATCTCTATATTACCACCTTTGCCATATAAATATTAAAAATATCCAACAATCTATCTCTCTCTCTCTCTCTCTCTCTATCTCTATATATATATATATATATATATATATATATATATAATGTATTAATGTAAAAGAAGGCATTTAAAAGTGTTGCTATGTAGCAATGCACACATAGCCTTTATCCGCTTCTAAATTGTTTCGCCGTTATAGGGGAGCTTCTGCGTGGTGTAATGGTTAACAAGATTGTCTCACTGAAACAATTACGAATGAATAGTGAATTTCTTCCTCACTGTGTACATCATACTGTCGGCCTTGTGCCACATCTAAGCTTAAGTATCTCTTAGTAAATCCCTATTATATATATATATATATATATATATATATATATATATGTGTGTGTGTGTGTGTGTGTGTGTGTTGGTGTGTTTGTGTGTATGTGTGTACGGATTTAACGTACTAATATTAATTCTGTCAGGATTTAATAAAAATACATATCCCAAAGATCAAAATGTCTTGCATTGTATGCGTTTTCTTTCCTCTCGATTAACGCAGAAATGGTCCCTGAAAAACTAAATCATTTTTTTCAGCTCTTCCGACCTCGGCAGAATATGCGAATTCCAAATCCAGACTTTCATATCCAGGAAACATTCTTCGCTTTATATTCTGTCTTTCAATTTCATTAGCTTTATTACTATTGTTTTTATTTCCTTTTGTTTCTGGCGTATACACATTTCTTTCCGGATGAAACCTAAGGTCAGAAATGGCATCCTGATATTTTCCGCTGAGCAGTTTTGAGAAAAAAAATAGACATATTTTACATAGACAAAACTGTTCGTGTGCTGTGTGCTGTACTTGTGAGGACATTATTATTATTATTATTATTATTATTATTGACTTTTAAAAAATAATTTTTGCTATGTACATACGAGAGAGAGAGAGAGAGAGAGAGAGAGAGAGAGAGAGAGAGAGAGAGCTAAAAGTTCTTGGCCTGGCCAAAAACCCTTCAAAATGCCAAGCGTTCATTTTTGCATCAAATCTTGAGAAGGGAGGCAGGCCGAGAACTTTTCAGCAACTGATATTATCTACTGATTTTGGTTCTTCTTTTTCTTTCTTTTTTTTTTTTGTTTCTCTGGATTTTCTACATTTTTCTTTCTTTTTACTTTTCTTACTTTGTTTCAAATGTTTGCTTTCTTTTCTCCTTCTTACTTTCTTACTTTCTTTCTTTTATTTTATTCTTCCTTTCGTTCTTTCTTTCTTTCTTTCACTTTCTTTTTTTTCTTTCTTTTTTCTTTCGTTCTTTCTTTTCATCATTTCATATTTCATTTTTCGTTTATTTTCTATATTTATTTATATTTATATTACATATATTTTATATATTATATATTATATTTTAATATTATATATTAAAATATATATTATCATATAAATAAATATATTTTATATATTTGTTTCTATATTTATATTTCTTTTCATCTTTCATTCATATTCATTCTTTCTCTTTCTTTTTCATTCTTTATTTATTTATTTCCCTCACTTTTCTTCTTTTTCTTTCTTTTTTCTTTCATTCTTTCTTCCCATCTTTTCAATTCTATTCATTTTTCTATTTTAAGCACCTACATTTTTCACTTTCCTTTTATCTTTCATTCATTTACTTTATTTCCTTTGCTCTCATTTCTGTTCATTTTTCTCTACTTAAACTCCTACTTATTTCACTTTCCTCCATTCTTTCATTATTTCACTTCCTTTCATTTTCTTTCTTTCTTTCTTTCTTTCTTTCTTTCTTTCTTTCTTCTTTCTTTCTTTCTTCTTTCTTTCTTTCTTTCTGTATTTTCTTTCTTTTCTTCTTTTTCTTTCTTTCATTTTATTTTCTTTTCTTTATTTATTTATTTTTTATTTTTTATTTATTTAGTTTCACTTCTATCAAACCTGTTTTTTCTTCTTTTCTTTTTCTTGCTTGCTTTCTTTCTTTCTTTCTTTCTTTCTTTCTTTTATTTATTTTTTCTTTTTTTTTTCTTTTTTTTTTTCTTTATTTTCAAATATCTCTATTTTTAATCTTATTTCATTTTCTTTCTTTCTTTCTTTTTCTTTCTTTCTTTCTTTCTTTCTTTCGTTCGATCGTTTTCTTTCTTTCTTTCTTTATTTATTTATTTATTTATTTAGTTTTCTTCAAATTTTTTTCTTTTTTCTTCTTTTTTTTCTTTTTTTCTTTATTTTCTTTCCTATTATTTTCTTCTTGCTTTTTAACTTTTTTTTTTTTTTCACTTTTTTTTTTTCTTTCTTTCTTTATTTTCATTCTATTATTTTTCTATTTTCTTTCTTTCTTTCTTTCTTTCTTTCTTTCTTTCTTTCTTTCTTTCTTTTTCTTTCGTTTCGATCGTTCTTTTCATTCTTTCTTTCTTTCTTTATTTATTTATTTATTTAGTTTCACTTCTATCAAATATCTCTGTTTTAATCTGCTACTTCTATCTCTTTCTTTCTTTCTTTCTTTCTTTTTTTCTTTCTTTCTTTCTCTTCACTTTTCTCCATTTCTCTATTTTAATCTGCTACATATTTCTTTTTATTTATTTCTTTTCACTTCTATTTATTTCTCCATTCTTAAAATCCCACATCTTTCTCTTTTCTTTCTTTCTTTCTTTCTTTTCACTTCAATTTATTTCTCCATTCTTAAAATACCACATCTTTCTCTTTTCTTTCTTTCTTTCTTTCTTTCTTTCTTTCTTTCTTTCTTTCTTTCTTTCAATTTCTATTTGTTTCTTTACTCTTAAAGTCCTTTCTTCCTTCTTACCTTTTTCTTTGTTTTATAGTCCTCTGTATGTCAATCTTTCTCTCAACCGTGTCTTTCTTCCTTTTAGTAAATCGGCATTTTGGATTTTCCTCCTTCCTTGGTTTGTAAATAAAATGCACTTCTCTCGTGCAAAGAATGAATTGACATTTCACAGTCTGAAGAATCTATTTTTTTTCAAATATTCCTTTGTTGCCTTGATCTTTAAAACTTCAACTGCTTATTTTGACTGCATCCTTTCTCCATCTTCCCACCTAACCCTCTCTTCTTCATCATCATTATCATCATTGTCAGTTCTTTGGGGTTTTTTTTTCATGTCTTCCCCGATTATTTACTCACTAACTAACTCTGTCTCTTCATTGTTTCTTTCCGATCTTCTTATAAAATATCCGCCATTTTCTTTTACTCGACTCTCAGCAGTGACTTATGTAACTGAATCGGCTCTTCAAAGACGAAGCGGTAGTATCATTTCGCCAAAAATCTTCTTCATTATAATTGTAACTGAAGCGTCGATTCTTTTTCTGCTTCTGCCTTTTAATAGAATATTTTCTGGCTCGTTTTGTTTCTATTTTATTTGCCAGCGTTTAGTTCTTTTCATTTATTTCTTTTCTTTTTTTTTCTTCTACTTCTTCTTGTTTTAATTTCCAGAATAAACGCGGACGTATCGAAATAAAAAACAATGAAAATAAAGCAGACGATTGGAAATTTTGTCTTAGAAAAAGGACCACGTCAAAGCGCCATAACGTTTGATGTTGAAAAGGTTAAGAAAAAACAATTGCGCACTAAATCTATGCTTAGAAATCTTAAAATATCTCCTTCATAGATCAGTTTTTTTAAGGAAATCGGCACACGTTGAATAAAGCTTTTTTACAGCTTTAAAGTTAGAATTCATTTTCATTTTTTTACCCTTAAGTGAATAATTTAATGGTTGGCTCCCTGTTCGACGGCAGTGAAGTCAAAATATATATATATATATATATATATATATATATATATAATCATCACATATATATATATATATATATATATATATATATATATAATCACATATATATATATATATATATATATATAATCACACAAACAAACACACACACACACACACATATATATATAATCACACACACACACACACATATATATATATATATATATATATATATATATATATATGAATTCGGTTTTCACACGTTGAGTTGCAGTTGAAATGCACCGAAACGAAGTTGTATCTTTGTAGTTAGAAACTGTTTTTTGTCTATATAATAAAATTATAATATATATATATATATATATATATATATATATATATATATATATATATATATATATATATATATATATATATATATATATATATATATATATATATCAACAATCTTCCAGGAACATTTAAATTTATTATTCTCTCAAGATTGTAGTGAGTACTGTTTTTAAATAAAAGACTTTAAACATATTTCTAAATTGAACTGATAAGTTTTTGGAATGCCTCATTCGTGGTAATTTTTTTTTTTAGAATCTGTTATTTAATATTTTTGCCATATTTAAACTGGTACTTCTGCAATGTGCATATAAATTCTGGCCAAAGAAAAAAAATCTGCATTGTTATCGGTCCTGAGCTGATATCTACTTTCGCATCAACGGAACGTAGCTTCCTTCTGTCTCATCTGGTAATATTTTCATCATAATTGTTCTGATGTGCTCTCTTCTTTGATAATTTGAATTTATGAATTTAAGTGTACGATTAGATAGGCGACTGGATTGTATTCCACAGTTGAAATTGCTAGACCTAATAGTAACGTCAATTCGCCTGTGCACAATCCTGTATCAGATATAACACCTAAGAAAGGAAAAAGATATATATATATATATATATATATATATATATATATATATATATATATGTGTGTGTGTGTGTGTGTGTGTGTGTGTGTGTGTGTGTGTGTGTGTGTTGTAATAGTAGTAGTAGTCGAGATGAAACGTATAAAAACTTAAAGCTTTGGTTGGCAAAGAGTCTTGTGAAGAAAAACTAAAAAAAAAATTAAATTAGCCTCGGAAGGGTTGGGCCCAGTCAGTCTATCTTCCCCAATACGCATCTCACAAGTTTAGGTTTCTATCATGGACACTACTAATCGAAAAACGACTTGAGCGCCCAATCCTGCCATTAGGCATGTCCCCTAAGGGAGAAAGCAAGGATATATATATATATATATATATATATATATATATATATATGTGTGTGTGTGTGTGTGTTTTCCCTATGAATTCTGTAGAGATGAAGAGAAAACTTCAGGCAATAGAAATGTGTTTCTACTGAAGGATACTGACAATACAATGGACAGAACAAGCGAGAAACGAGTAAGTTTTACGCAAATTAGAATAAAAAAGCAAACTTAGATTTAGAAAGATGCGTGGACAATTATTCAGACAGATAATGAGGAAAGGATTCTCGCTCATAATCTATATATGAGGAATGTTCAAAAAGTGTTGTGGATTCCGGGTTGAATTCCGGTACCAATAAATATCAAACGTCAGGAATGAATATATGAAAATAATGTATTAACGTAATAATACAAACTTGTAATGCAGGTTAGTAGTTCCAGGAATACGGGTTAGTAGCAAAATATCTATACAGTCTTTGGTATTGAAGTATCGCTGTATGTCTTCTTACTGAGTCTACGTGCTCGCTCACTGTGACTCCTACAACGTTGTTACCTCACCCTTCACTCTTCCAGTTACCTACAGCCTTTTACTTTGTTACTCTCGACTCGACTCGACTCCTCGGTCATGCTTCCTCTACTCTCGTCTCGCTCTTTCGGTAGTATATGTATATATTCGGCGAGTTTATTTGGATAAAAAGGGGTGGACCCCTCAACAAAAAGTATTCGACCTCTGGGCATGAAAAAATTTATGTTGTGTATTTCAAAGATTTTATTTGCTCCTTTTTAAAATAGCCCCCTTGTAAATTCAAACACTTCTACCAGCGGTTCTGCCACTGCTGTTAACGTTGCTTGAATACTTACTCTGGAATTCGATGGCATTCCGCCGTCGCTTTTCTCTTAATTTCTTCTTGTGACTCAAATCGCTTAATTTTCAGTGTGATTTTAAGATTGTGGCAGAGCCAGTAGACGCACATGCCAATTTGGTAGAGTAACGAATATGAGCAGCATTAGCAGGAGCATTGTCTTGTTGAATTTACCAATTCTTCGCCGCCCACTCGTACCTGAAATTCAGACCTGGAGAAAAAAAAATGAACTGCTATGTTTTAATGTTCAAGCGATATACTCGACAACGTGTCAAATCTTCGTGGATTATTTGAGATCGACTCTTTGTACGAGGCACCCAGTGAGAATTTTCTTTACTGCGCAGAAGTAATGACATACCGAACTATATTGCTTATCATATGCACAAGTTTTCGGTTACACAGAACCATTCTTGTTAAATAATATTTGCCACGCGAATATCTATAATAAAACCTAAAGTTAGTTCTCAGAAGGACATCCTTAAACGACATTTCACAATGCGAACGTCTTAATAAATATAGAATTACAGCAGCCGTAATTTCAAGAAGCATGGAGTGGTTATCTCGACGGATCATGTCTACATAATCACCAAGAGAATGGCGCGCTTCCTTTTTATTCCAGAGGTCGGACATAGTAAAAGACACGTGTAAGTTTTCATGGCCTTTGCCACTGGCAATAAGCATTTCTTTGTTTTCTAAGTCGGCCATCTTCCTAAGAGGCTGCCACAAGACTTCTAAGGCTGTAATTCCACTGAAAGCACTCTAGTTTCAGCATTCATTGTGAGTTCTACTGTACACAGACATATATAAGTTGTATAAAAGGATATTTCACGGCTTCTTATAAATGTATTGCGCCAAAGTTGCAAATGGTGGCACACATTTAATTTTTTTAAAATCATATCACCCCTTGTAAAGGCAGTAAAACTACTAAAACACAAGGTGTTAATGAGTGAGAAAGAATAAAAAAAAACATTAAGGAGCGGGAACAATAGTAGTGTAATCAAAAAGACAGTAGATAACAATTGCATTTAAATTTGGGAACCTCAAATATGGCCGGTAAGAATAGAGCCAGAGATTTCCAAAAGCGAAAAATACGAGAAAAGACGCCGTTAGCATAGAACTTACAGTTGCCTCTAGCTAACTGAATAGTAAATTGATATGATTTTACTGCTAATCTAGTACTATGTGTAAATTCCTAATGTCCAGGTATCTTAGCGAAGTATGATATTTGTTTGTAATTATTGACAAAATGTGGCACAAGACCAAAATGGAGAATTCAACTTATCTAGCCAGAAACACTGACCCAAACATACCACAATATCACCAAAATAACGCATTACCTTTCTTACAACATTTACCATAATACCTCATTGTCTCCATGAAAGTCCTAACGCATTACCTTTCTTACAACATTTACCATAATACCTCATTGTCTCTATGAATGTCCTAACTAGTCCGCATATTTACAATTCATTGTCTGGGTGGGTAATAAAACAACAGTTTAACAACTAGCCCCAATGAGTATTTACAGTATTAAAACCAATCTATTTACAAGAAACCAAATAATGTTAGTAATAAAAGCTCACACAATTCCTAAATGTGTCGGAAACATCAGTTCACCCTGACGAAATCAAAGCAGGACTAATATAATATAAAACATGAATTCATCCCAAGTACTCTCTCGAACACACACTCATTAAAGCCGCGAATGAATCCGAACTTTTTATCAAATTTATCAGTCATTTTCAAATGAAGCATGTGTATTTACACCTAAATGTAAGTATTCGAGAAGTTTTTATTGCAAAAGCGCAAGTTTTAATCTGCAAATTAACCAAGTTACTTACCAGATGATTAAATGTCTACATCAATCACAAAACGGATTTAAAATAAGTACGTTTGACATGAAAGTCATTGATAATTTTTTGGAGGCAGCTGGATGTGGTGTAATGGCTAACAAGCTTCTC